CGCGGTGTGTCCCGGGAGAGGGCCCCTTTGCTGAGCTATGGAGCAATGGCGAGGCAAAGGTGTTTTTTATAAATATATACGTATGGGTACCCTGTGACTACGTATACACATGTGAGTATTATTATTTTTTTTCTTTTCTTGCTTGGTGAAATTAAATGGGCGGTGCCCCATGAGAAAGGTACTGGCTTGAATGACCGGAGTGGGTCATGCTAGGTTTCTTGTAATATCGTTTCTTGTATTCATATCATATGTTTTATTTCCTTTATTATTGTTAATGTATATTTATTTCGTTACTATATTATTGTATTGTTAAACTCAGTCAGCATTGCTCTCGAATTGTGCGTGTATTTCCAACAACAACAAGTGAATGAACTCCTCCCCCTTTCCCTCTCCTGAAATTTCGGACTGGTTACAGTCCGGGTAAATAACGGTTCAACTCAGAAGGAGTTCTACAACTAATGGCTCCTCTACTGAATCAGGGACACCCGTAATCATGGACAGCTAGTTTTGAGGCCCAGATGTGTTCTATAAGCTGTGCAGCAGACAGAGTGATGCTAGGGGAACCTTGCATCAAAACAGGAAGTGTCCCTGCTGAAATAAAGAGCACAAAACTGGAAAAGGGAGAATGTGTCAGTCTACACAGACAGGCTAATGATAATGAAGCGGAAACACAAAAACGGTATTTCTCTTATTAGTACCATTCATGATGACAAAATGGTTCCAAGTGGGGTTCAAGGGTAAGACATGGAGGAGCCCAAACTATTCACTGATTATGATTCCAGGATGGAAGGTGTGGACCGCAGTGATGCTTACTTGACAAGCTATCACCGCACAAGGAAAACACTAAGAAAATACTATCAAAAGCACTTCTGCCATTTGATTGATATCTGCTCTTTGAATTCATATTCACTTTACACAAGAAAAAAGACACCAGCATTTCCAGGAGGTAATTTCAAGTGAAACTTATAAAAACTTTAATTTCAAAATATCATATAACAGAAAACAGACCAATAGGCAGACCACCAAAAAGATTAACGTTCCTCATTATCCCTCCTACACTGCTGCCACAGTGCAAAGCAAAATCCGTGCTGGCACTGTGCTGTATGCTACAAAAACGGCCAATGGAGTGAAACATGATACAACTGCGAAGACTCTAAGGGGACCCTGTGTGTTGCACCATTTCCATCAAGGTTCAACACATGGCTAAGAAGTGTCTGAAGGTAAGATTTTAGTAATCAGAGAGTTTACTATGGGCTGGTACTGAAAACTAAGCCATAATTACAAACACCTTCAAAGTTATGTGCCACTGGATTTGCAAAAAAGTGTCCCAAGGTATGATGGTTTTAGTCTGTACAAGATAATGTTTCTCCAGTTGATGTTTGGAAGAACAAATACATTTTGTTGCATGGTTCATTCACCCACAGTAGACTGAACTTGAGAAGGAAGTGCAAATTCAGATCACACAGCAATCAGAAACGTCTGTTGTCACTTAGGCAGTCAGAGCTACAGTAGGTCACAGTGAAGTGCCACAGTAAACAAACGTGTAAGTGTGTGTGTAGGCTGGAGGTAGTTTTGTCACTCGGATTCTATGAATGGTGTTTCATTTCTAGACACCAGCCCCACTGCATACAGTCAATGTGCATGAGTCAGACATACTTTTGTGATCATGTATTGGGAACTGAAATGCATGTCAGTGGCGTACCTTTTGAGGATAAAGCCAAAAATACAGAGTTTTACTAAACAATATATATTGTTTATATATATATAAAGTGTACTGTAATGGCTATATAAATGAAAATATGGTAAACATATATGAACTTTGATAACTGATCCGTCAGAACCTTTTTGTCTCATAATTTTATGACGATGCATGGTTGTGATATTGAATTCTAAAATTGGAGTAACACGTATAAAATTAAACGCAGCAGTAACAAATTTCAGTGTCCCACTGCGAGAGAGGTAATAACTTGGAATATATATACTCAACTGGTTAGGTCTTCCAGTATTGCAAACTGCTTTTCATAAACAGCATTCGTGCTGTGGCCATGGCAAACCATTAAAATGATTCACTTCAAATAAATGTCTGTCCAATAACAGTGATCCCACCCATTTAGGGGTCTGAATTTGGACACAAGACTGAGGAAAATCCTACACAAAAGCAACTTAACAATGAGATTACAAGTTTGTGATCATTGAAGCTGAATTTCAAATGTGGGACACCTCAAACCCTGAACACTAAGTAGTGGATCCACTCCAATAAGGGGAACAAAGGTGCCTTCCTCGACTGTCAATTTCCAGACAACAGGGCCCACAATTAGATTTAGGTGACACACACCTTCTCTGCAGGAACTCCTCGCAGTCTGGTGCACAGTCACACACAGAGTGGAGCTTCTTCTGATTGTCCTTCCTCTGCTTCATGTCAGTGGCTATCTTGTACATGGTACATGTAGAGGGTGAAGGGCGACTTCTGGCATCCTTGTTCAGTCCAAACCCGACATTCCTCCATAGCCAGAACAGAAATTTCTTCACTGATGCCATCAAACTCCTGTGAACAAACAGTAACCTCTGTTACAGAGAGGCTTCCAACTCTCTCACCTACATCAAACTCTGAGGCATTCATTCATTCATTTATTTTATTTAGCATTCACAATTGCTATGACAGTAACACTTGAACAAGTCACATCACTAAATACATCATTCTTGAAATCCTTTGGCCCAAATGCCTAAAGAATTAAAATTTGCCAACAATAAATAATAACTCTTGATATGGTTAAACCTACAATTAAAATATAATACACATTATCAAAACCAGATAAATATTCAATTTAGATACAACACATAAATTGAAAATGCAAGTTGATTTACAAAAATTCCTATCATAGTAGTTTTGTTAACTGTATGAGGTTATCGAGGGAATTTTAAGAGTATGATAGTAAGTCAAAAGCCCTACAAATGACCGTCAATCACCGATTACATTAAGATACTACAAGCAACAATTTACAGTGGAACCTCACTTAACAAGCACCTCTCATAATGAGTAATTTGCATAACAAGCAAAACAAATTGTAAAAAAAAAAAAATGACTCTTAATGAGCGACGTTTCACATAACGAGTGACACGAGGGGAAGTCCCGGATTGTGCGTTTGCTACATCAGTCTGTGTTTAGCACTTGTTCCGCTAGCATCTTAGTGTCGCTTGTGATCACACATTTTTCCAAACTTGTGTTCAGACATTATTTGTTATTTTCTTTTTGTGCAAAGTTTAATAACCCTTGCAAAAATGCCCCGAAGAAAAAGCCACAAAAAGACAGTCATAAGAGAATAAAAATAACCGTAGAAATGAAACGTAAAATCATTGAAAAGTGAGAATGAGGCGTGAGTGTGGCTGATCAAGCACACATATACAATCGGTCTACATCAATGATTTGCACTATCCTCAAGAACAAGGACAAGATTAAGGAGACAGATGCTTCAAAGGGAGTGACAAGAATATTTACGCAACGGTTACGTATTCTTGATGATGTTGAAAGGTTGCTCCTCATATGGATAAACGAAAAGCAATTGCAAGGCGACTCTATTAACGTGAACATCATTTGTGAGAAGGTGAAAGTGATTTTCGCAGACCTAGTTAAGAAGACGCCAGGATAATCAACGGCCGAAGAAGCAGCATTTAAGGGAAGCCGTGGGTGGTTCGAGAAGTCTAAGAGAAAAATCGGCATCCACGGCTTTGTAAGGCATGGTGAAGCAGCAAGCTCCGACACAAAGGCAGCAGAGAACTTCATCGGCAACTTCAAGAAGCTCGTAGATTCTGAGGGTTACCTGCAGCAACAGGTTTTTAATTGTGGCGAGACGGGTCTCTTCTGGAAACAGATGCCGAAGGGAACCTATATAACAGCAGAGGATAATGCATTGCCTGGCCATAAGCCAATGAATGACCGTCTAATGCTGCTATTTTGTGCCAATGCAAGTGGCGATTTAAAAATTAAACTGCTGCTTGTTTACCATTCACAAACTCCATGAGCCTTCAAGAAGTGTAAAGTCTAGAAGAGCAGACTAAATGTGATGTGGAGGTCCAACAACAAGGCTGAATAGAATAAACGTTATACACGTACACACACGTAAAATTTTTTGAGTATTTTTTCGACATGGAATGCATTATCGTATTTTACATTAATTTATATGGGAAAAATTGTTTCGCTTAATGAGCATAATTCGTTCCAGAATCTTACTTGTACTAAGACACACTAGTTAAGCGAAACAATTTTTCCCATATAAATTAATGTAAAATATGATAATGCGTTCCATGCCAAAAAAATACTTAAAAAATTATATGTATAACGTTTATTCAAAGAAAATTATATATACATTGTTAAGGAGCATGAATCATCTTCATCTTTTCTTCTATGTGGAATGAACCAACCTGGAATGCGAATTCCATTTGCAGAAAACAAAAAAAGAAATCGAAATAATTAGTTTATTATTTATGATACATATCTAATTCTTGTTTACTAGAAAGCTGTCTAGAGACATCTTCATCTTTACTTCTATGCAGAATGAACCAACCTGGAATGCGAATTCGATTTGCAGAAAACAAAAATCGAAATAATTAGTTTATTATTTATGATATCTAATTCTTGTTTACTAGAAAGCTTTCTAGAGACATTTGTTTTTGCTGACGCTTCAAAATTGGGTGAAAATGTGACACAGCATTATAATTAAATAAATTTGTAGCGCACTTAGCCACTGCCTTATTAGGGTGATACTTCTCAATGTACGATGCAACAGTTTCCCATGCTTTCAGCATCTCTTATTGCGCCAGAAGATTGTTGCTTTGCTGTTCCCCCTCCTCCTCCTCCTCCTCTGACAAACTCTCCTCCACAACTTCTTGCTGTGAAACACAATGCAACTCCAAAACGTGCAAATCGTTGATGTAGACCGATTGTACTCGTATATGCGTGCTAGATCAGCCACACTCACACCTCATTCTCGCTTTCAATGATTTTACGTTTCATTTCTACGGTTATTTTTATTCTCTTATGGCTGTCTTTTTGCGGCTTTTTCTTCGGAGACATTTTTGCAAGGGTTATTAAACTTTGCACAAAAAAATCACAAATAATATGTCTGAATACAAGTTTGGAAAAATGTGTGATCACAAGCGACACTAAGATGCTAGCGGAATGAGTGCTAAACACAGACTGATGTAGCAAGCGCACAATTTGGGACTTGCCCTCTTGTCACTCGTTAAGCGAATTACTCGTTATGAGAGGTGCTCGTTAAGCGAGGTTCCACTGTATCTATATTGTGACGTGGACGGCGCAATGCTCGGTAACACCCCCTTCCAGCGGTGACGTAACAGCATTGGAGCAACTGCTGCTGTTACGGTAACAGGCCAGTCAACACTCTGTCCCTCTCCCCCGTGGTGACGTAACAGGGGACACCGCGGTTACTATGCAGCAATAAACAACTCTCGGCAGCGTTCCCCAGCAACGCCTGTAAACACGACATTACGCAACAGTGGTAGCTATCACGTAGCTGTTTTCTGTGCTGTCAGTGTGGAAGCTACATAACAGGAGTATTCGTCAGTGAGGGATTAACCAGTCAGCTGCAGTCTAGCAGTCGCCGGAGTGAATAGCAGTGACTCCAGCAGGAGAAGTAATTGTGACTGCCGATGGCAGTAATTGTGTAATTGTGAATTGCATAAGTGTAAGAGCGAATGTGGAATAAATTTGCTATATCCAAGACGGTGTGAAGTTATTTGTCATGTTATACACCTAACTGCAGAAGAATGAGGTGTCTGTTCTAGGTGTCAGCGAAGTGCGGTGGAAAGGACAAGGTGAAATAAGAAGTGGTGATTATACAGTGTATTATTCCAGAGGTGAAGGGGCTGGAACAGGTGTGGCAATAGTGGTGCATAAAAGTGTAGTGAGGAGTGTTGTTAAGAAGATTGATTGTAATGACAGAATTATTGCTCTGAAGTCAAAGGCGGAACCGGCAGATATACTGATTATGCGAGTGTACATGCCAACATCAGAGTATGAAGATGAAGTGGAAAAAGTATATGACACAATTGAAGAAATTCTTCAGGAAGATGGAAGACGTGACACAAACAGCATCATATTGGGAGACTGGAATAGCATTGTTGGAGATGAACCATATCAGAATATTGTTGGATCACATGGACTAGGAAGACGGAATCACAGGGGTCAAATGCTTATTGATTTTTGTGAATGAAATGGACTGACTGTCACCAACACTTGGTTCAAGAAGCCAAAGAGAAGAATTTACACATGGAAGGCACCTGGGGATTGGAGGAGGCATCAGCTAGACTACATCCTTGTGAAACATTGATTCAGAAACAGTGTGAAGGACGTGAAGACTGTGCCTGGGGCAGATATTGACTCTGACCACAACTTACTGGTTGCCAAGTTCTGAACCAGGTTGAAGAAAATTATAAGATTTCAAAAGTGCAGACCTAGATGGGATTTGGAGAAGTTATATGCTCAAAGA